TGTCTACTTTGGCCGGATCTACTTTTATTTCTTCTTGGGTCACCACATGCCCTAGAAATTGAACTTCTCGGAGCCAGAACTCATACTTTGAGAACTTCGCGTATAATTTTTCCTATTTCAGTAACCTCAAAACTACGCGAAGATGTTTCTCATGCTCATTCTCAGTGCGGGAATAAATTAAAATATTATCTATGAAAACAATGACAAACTTATCTAGGTAGGGTTTGCATTCTCTGTTCATCAGATCCATGAAAGTTGCAGGTGCATTTGTCAACCCAAATGGCATTACCAGGAATTCATAATGCCCATACCTAGTCCTAAAAGCTGTCTTAGATACATCCTCCTCCCGGACCTTCAGCTGATGATAACCTAACCATAGGTCGATCCTTGAGAAATAACTGGCACCCTGAAGTTGATCGAAAAGATCATCAATCCTTGGAAGTGGGTACCTATTCTTTATATTTACGTTGTTACGCCTGCGGTAGTCGATGCACATCCACATTGTGCCATCCTTTTTCTTAACGAAAAATACCGGTGCTCCCCAGGGCGAGGTGCTAGGGCGTATAAAACCCTTTTCTAACAACTCCTGCAACTGAGTCATCAACTCCTTCAATTTTTGACAGTGCAAGACGATAGGGTGTTTGAGCTACAGGTACAGCTCCAGGTACAAGATAAATTTGAAACTCTACATGTCTCTCGGGTGGTAGACTTGTCAGGTCATCTGGAAAGACTTCAAGAAACTTCCTTATAACAACAATGTCTTCCATACTCTTTTTCTCTTTCCTAGCATCTATCACATATGCCAAATAACTTTGACATCCCTTTCTTACACACCGCCTTGCTTTAACTAGGGAAATCATGCTAGATTTCCTATTTCTTCTATCTCCATAAATTACTATGGTTCCACTATTGGGTAATTCAATCTGAATTATCTTTTTATTGCACATAATTTTTTCCTGGTTTTCAGCTAACCAGTCCATCCCAATTATTATATCAAATTCCCCAAGGATTATAGGGAGTAGTTTTAATGGAATCGAACAACCGTCTATCTGAATATTGCAGTCATCATACTCCTTTCTAATTATCACCCTATTATCATCGACAATTTCTACCTCTAAGGATGAACTTAAAGGCTTTGGTACTCTATGCAAGTAATCACATAAAGTAGTTGACACAAAAGAACGGTTTGTGCTAGAATCAAAGAGTACTTTAGCATGCACAGAGTTGACCAGAAATGTACCTGTCACCACGTTCGGTGTCTCCTCGGCCTCTGTTGCTGTCATGTGGAAGACTCTTCGTTTAGACTTAGTTACTTCAAGTCACTTTTCCTCCCTTTTTTTCATTTCGACTTCCACCTTCACCTGTAGCATGCTCATCCTTTTCCTGAGGGCAATTTGCTTGTACATGATTGGGTGACTTACAAATGAAACATAATCGCTCCCTTCGCTCAACCTTGCAATCCTAAGAAAAATGTCCTGGCCTCCCACATCGGTAACATATCCTCGGCTTAACCATGCATTATCCTTTATGCACACGATTCCATTTAGGACATGGTTTAGCAGCTTGCCCTTGCCATGTCTTCTTTTCTGAACCCAAAAACTTTGGCTTCCTGGTTTCATTGCTTGGACCATCCCTTTTTTTTTGCCCCTCTCAGCATCTTGACGATTCTTCTCTTTCTCTCGAATTTCTGCTGCATTTATTGCCTCCTGAAATGTGGTAGGACTCATAGTGAGAACAAATTCCCGAATAGATGCTTTTAGTCCCCATATGTACCTCTCTACCCGTCTTTCCTCAGTCAAAACATAGTGCTCAACAAACCTTGCTTTTTCTGTAAAACTTGTCGTATATTCCCGAACTGTCATGGTTCCTTGTTCCAACCTTAAAAATTCTTCTTCCAGTTGCTTTATCGCAGTTCGAGGACAAAATTTCTCATTAAATAATATCTTAAACTCACCCCATGTCATTCTTGCTACAACCTCTTCGCCCCTTAAGTTCGTAACTATTTCCCACCAGAAAAGAGCTTTTGATTTTAGCATGGATGTCGCATATGTCACCTTATCTTCTTCCGCACACTTACTGATTTTAAAAATCACTTATATCTCTTTTATCCACCTCATAGTTGCCACTGGGTTGGGGTCACCTTGAAAGGGTTGGGGCTTACAAGCTAGAAAGGTCTTATAATTACAACCTTTTTGTCCCGAACCCGTGTTGATAGGACTATTTGGTCTTGACCTCTCATACCGGTCTCCCCTGTTGTTTGATTCGCTAATATTTTCTCTTCTATTGCTTATCACCCTATCCTCTTGATTTCTCAACTCCTCCTCTCGCACCTAAGCTAGAACTGCAGGCAAGGCAGCTTGCAAGGCTTTTATCACCTCATGAGCGATGATGTCCATGGGGGTGACGATAGTTGCCTTGGTACGTCCTCGGCCCCTGCCTTGACCTCTTCCAGATGCAGAGCTTTCTTGTACAGAGGGCTCAGGTTCATTTTGTGTCCCTTGAGTCCTACCTCGCCCCCTTCCTCTTCCTCGACCTCGTCCCCGCATGCTAGCGGTCCTTGCGGCCGCAACCGATGCTGGTCAGGTCTCTTGTACAATAGGGGTAGCCCCTATAGGTGGTGAGTCTACTGCATCGGGTGTAACCGATATTGTCCTTCCTGACTGTCGCGACATTATTGTTGTATGCGTTAAACATTTACATTTATAAGCTTATTTATTCATAACCTACTCATCCAACATTCACTCAATAAGATTAAACACCAAATAATATATTTCTTTCAAAAGATAAGTCAATACATAAGTCTTGCTTATTACGCCAAACTGGCTAATACATAAACCAAAATAAACCCAGCTCAAGGCCGGTTAATATCCAAAAATATCCTAAAAAAACAAAAGTTCTTAACGCAAGACTATGTTTCTTTCTCACCCTCTCACTCAAGGCATGTCCGTGGGGTAGTTAATGATCTTCACAAATTCCTCATAAGTGTTATTTGGATGGTATTTCCAGATAAATCCTAAGCTCGGGCCATGATGGTATTGGTGTGCCCAGCTGGAAAAATACTCCTTGATCAAGCTTACATATTTCAAGGACACTCCATGGTAATAGTGAGCACAGTCTCCCAATCACACTTTCCAAGACTGGGCAGCAATCCTTCTTTCCCACTCTAACTCCACACACTTTCAAGCCATGTCGTGGTTGCTCCCCCAAAGTTCATCATTTTCTTTCAACACCTTGTTTAACTCTCCCCCTAAATTAACATGTTCCATTTGCAAGTTGTTCAACCACAATTCCACTTTGGTCTTTTCCACTTGAATCTTAGACAATTCTGTTCTCAGTTCAGCATTCTTACCACGTAAATTCGATATATTCTCTTCTAAGTCCTCACGAGTAGGCGTGCTAGGGGTGTACTCCTCATAAGGTTCCTCTATTGGATCATAGGAAGAATCATTTACAGGTGTGGGTTGAGATGACTCAACTCTTGAAACACTCGCGTGACCCCTAGAACTGCTCCTCAACCTCCTAGAGCGTCTGCTAATGTGGCTAGAGCTTGTACGGTCATGTTCCCCGACTCCACTCTTTGGTCCTAGTCCAGCTACCGCACTACTTTCGGCCCTACCTCCTCGACGACCAATGCTCCTAGTATGTTTGGTATAAACCATATTACTACAAAACCACAGTGAAGAATCTATCATCTTCCAACACACTTTCAAAACTTAAAAGCAAATTAAACCAACTATAACAATATTAATTCATATAACCTTTTCCCTGTTTCTATATTTTATACTCCATCTCAGTTTAAGCTAAGGCTAAAATTAATAACCTATTTCTCTTAAACTAAGGCTCTGATATCACTTGTAAAGACCTGATTTTTTAATTTAAATACAGTAAACGTCCATATATAAATAAGCCATAAGGTCTAAATAGTTCAATGCAACAGAAGTTTTAAAAAAAAAACAAATAAAACTTAAAGGATCATTTATCTAATCATATGATCATATCAAAGTCTCGGATTGTCTCCACGTCAAGCCTTTATTCTGCGATAGCCGTTTCTAAACTTTCTCCTTTCCCTTGCTACTATTCCCGAGTGTGAGACGACCTGGTTGCATAATTGTTTTTTCAAGAAGTTGGGTGAGCCAAGAGCCTAGTGAATTAACGATTTTAATGTATACACAACGTAAAAAAAATAGATTTCACAAAGCGTCATAATTTTTCATGCATATGGTTTAAACAACATACTTCATAAAACTAGTGGTGTTATGGGAGATCACTACCTCACACAACATTACATGGCGAACTCACACAGCATGTCCGCACTTACGGCTTAGACAAGCTCACAAAGCACGCTCGTTTTTACAGTATCATAACGTAGTACACCCTCCATTGCCACACAACATATTTTATTAAATATGGCACGTTTACGCATACATGATAATCAAATAAATCAAGAAAATTCCAGGCAAGCTTGCATATAATTGTAAATAAAATGTGCAACCATTTTTATGAAAGTTACGTATAACTCACCATAGTAGTTATTGTCCCAAGCGCTCTTTTAAGTGGCTAGCGTCTCCCTACAGATCAAAGACCATAATGTTGATTGTAACATACGACATTCCCTAGAGATGATCGACTAGTCCTCTTGACACTTTTTATTTATTTATTTATTTGTTTTATTTTTTTTATAAACCATGCTTACCTATTAGTTTACAATTTGATTTATATATATATATATATAGGTATATATATTTAGCATCCAACAACAGTTCTTTATATATATATATATATATATATATGAATGATGGTGCATGCATAAAATGCATATACATATATGTATATATATATATATACACACACACACACTGTAACAACTTCACCAAGCACGATTTTTGCCCATGCATCACTTCTTATACCTTTATATATATATATATATACATATACATATATATATATATATACATATACATATATATATATACATATATATATATATATATGTGTGTGTATCACTTCTCCAAATAATCCCAAGCAGTTTCCGACGAGCAGTACCTATGCTCTAATTTCTTAAACTCTGGTGAATCAACACATAGAATTAATGAGACTTGATAAACCTCTCATCGTAACGAGTTTTTAACCCTTCAATTCATCGTAGCAACGAAACATCGTCCATCCATTATATAAATATATTGACTTACACACACTAAACATAAGTTCTATCTCCTAGAACTGACATGAGGGTCACTGTTTATCAACCCAATCTCACCGTGATTACCGTTGTGAAGAACGGTGGGGGTGCTTTCGGTGTCCGTTTGTCACCATTGCCCCTTCGGGAACCCACCTGAACGATCGAACGACTAGAGTGGTTATCTAGTAAACATAATTTAGACAATGGGTATGAAACACTTAGGGGGCGTTTGGTTCGTAGAATGGAATTCGATGGAATTGGAATTCATCAAATGAATTTAACTGTGAGGGAATGGAACGGAATTTGATGGAATTTGACCATGTCTTTTGATTGCGTTCGGTTGGATGGAATTGGAATGGAATTCTTAACGGAATTGGAATTTTTGTTGTTTCTTTCATGGAATTCAACGACAAAATTAGAGGCAAAAAAACCGAAACCGATGGTGAAAACCGAAAACCGAAACTTTTGAGCTGCGTTCGGGGACATCTTATCAAGGACGGGGCGGGGATCGGAGATAAATTCGGGGATTTTAACGGGGACGTGGGTGGGGACGGTGATCATCGGCCCGACCCAGCCTGATATGTGTATATATATTAATTTTAATTTATATACATATATATACACACACACACACATATATATACATATATATATATATATATAATATCATTAAAAGAAAATAGTAACATTAAAATTTAAAAAACTTTTATCCACTTCACTTCAACAACCCAAATAAGGCTCACGAAAAAGTCTAGTTTATTTTTCTAATTGGGAAATCGTGATTTTAGTTGTATGATGTTTGAAGTTCTGTTTAGTTTTATATTGTAATCTAATACATTGTCTGTAATTGGTTCGATTATGTTTGAGACATTTAAACTTGTATCTTTAAAAAAAATTGTAATTTACTTTTAGTTGTGAAAATTAACATATTGTAATTTTTTTAGATCTGTTTAGGGTTTCGGTTTTGGGTTCAGTTACAACCAACTGTGAACAGAAAAAAGAGAATTTTTACCTTAACGGGTTCCTCAACGGGGATCGGGAAATTGTGAGGACCCGATAAGATCCCCGACGGGGATCGGGGCAATCACGGGGACGGTTTTAGTTATCGGTTTCTGGGACGGGGATACCAATAATCGGCCCGAACCTGGCCCGTTGCCATTCTTAGTTTTAAACAAGATCGAGCAAAGGAGATCGAGCATAGCAGAACAGAGCAAATCAAGATACAACGTCGATGAATGGATGAGGGCTAAGGAATTTGTTGGATTGGAATTTGAAATCCGTGGTATATGCGGTGGAATTGTGAAATCAATGAATTAAGGAATTTGTTGGAATTGGAAGAATTCCTTCACATCTATTATGTGAACCAAACATGGCATTTGGAATTTTGTCAAAGATTTGGACATTCCAATTCCACCAAATTCCATGAACCAAACACCCCCTTACCAATTAGCGTCGAATTAGCTACGATGCACAATACCGTCGATTTTCTCCCCTTATATGAGTTCCCTTCCTCCAAACTTCTCTTCTTTTTTTTTTTTTTTTTTTTGCTTGTAGACCTACCTCCTATATATACTTGATCACATTGACGATTTTGATTTGGAGAATACACAAAGCCCCTCATTAATTATCCCGACCGTTTAAGGCCTTTAGATATGCCAACTATAAATGCATCTAAATTTCCCTTTACTTGATGTATACGGTCACTAACATATAATATGTTTTTTAACTTAAATAGATAAGAGTTATTACAATCACTTTATTGAAATCACAATATGTTAGTTCCATATAACATGTACATCAGTTCTTAAATTTTGAGAAATTTAAGGTATTTGCATTTACTTACTTTTGGGATTCTTCTAGGACTGCTTCTGTTTTCCAACCCAACATCGCTTGAAATTAAATATTTCCATCATCTTGTAGTTCTACATATATAGATTTATGCTATTTTAATACAACGAAAGTTACCTTATTTGTTGTTGCTTGAACCTTGTCTTATTCGTTGTCTCTTTATATGCTTTGAATATGATGAATCTACAAGTACCAACAAAGGAAGCTCGGTTTTTAACTCTACTCATATCCATCTATTGGTAAAGGATGAAATGTTAGATTGATCATTTTTAGTTGAAAATTACCAATCAAAATTAGATGTTCAGATCTAGCAGCTTTCGTGTCCATAACCCTAATTGCATCTATTTCTATATTAGCTCTTTTCTCTCCTGATCTACTTGACATAGTATTATCGTCGTTGAACTGCTTATTATCATCCATTATATCTTCATGACCATCGTCTGCAGTTGACAAATAACATATAAATCAACTAAAATCATTTCAATAAAGTTCGTTAATCACATTATATTGTAGTAATCATATTGCATTCAACATGCGTCATACCATAATATGTACTATATTTCATATTCAATGGAGAAATAATGCAACTAGAAAGTGAAATACATATATCCAGAATGCATCCATATTCAGATCTAAATTCAAATGGATGAATCTTATAACAATGTACCAATTGCATCCTGATAAACAACATAAACAAATGAAACCATAATGCATTTATATTCATCCTAGAATGCATTCCAATTGATTACAGAATGCATCTTGATGAATTTTACATGAAATTAATGAATTGAAAAGAATGAAACTTTGATCATTGAACCAAATGCATCCATGTATAAGAAATTATAAACACAACCATAACGCATTTGAATTCATTCCAGATTTCATACATAGCTTCGTATTCAAATTCACTTCAAAATGAATCTTATAATAATGCATTTAAATTATAATAATGCATTTAGATTAAGAACTGATTACACAATGAAACAAGATTCATTCCATAACTTTACTAGAGTAATAAATCAACTAAAATTCTTTGAATAATGCATCAAGACTCAACCTTCAGTTTTACAATATCGTGAGCTTCATGATGTCAAACTAATGCCTCTAAGATCTCAAATTGATTCATATTTTCATGAGTTTCATAACAAGGGATATCATCATGTCAATAATGCAATTAGATTCATTACCATGTACACAATGAAACAAGATTCATTCCATAACTTCAGTGGCGTAATAAATGAACTAAAAATCTTTGAATAATGCATCAAGACTCATCCTTCAGATTCATAATATCAGGAATTTCATGATGTCAAACTAGTGCCTCTAAGATCTCAAATTGATTCATAATTTTATAAGTTTCATAACAAAGGATATCATCCTCTCAATAATGTAATTAGATTTATTACTATGTCAACAATGCAACAAGATTTATTCCATATCTTAATTGGAGTAGTAAACAGTAAGGTAACAATAAACTATGTCAAACACATTGTGTCCCTTGTTCACATTTTCTCTTTAAAATCTTAAAAAAGATGTCATTTTACTAACCTTAACATCTGTTGAAGCCCCTGTTTCTAGTTCACAAGTGATTTCGTTCATCAGTTTGATATGTCGTTGGTTTCACTACAAAATTATCATCATCTTCTTCGCCCAGAACAACTGGATTTGTTGCAGTATTATTAAACTTAGAGAAAGAATTATTGATCATGATTTGTTCGCTCCTTTTCCGGACCGATTCAAAGAAATACCACAAATTAGGTTTTATAAAATCCTAATTCCAAATGAAATCAACTATTCTTTTACCTTGATTTCCTACAATGATGATACCACGCTAATTTTTGTTTGCCATCTGTTGTTGTAATATAACTCAATTTCTTCATCAATCCTTACCCAAACTGTTCAATAATGGTTGATCTTGCAGAGTAATTATCGGAATTCGAATCTTGAGAATATCACGTCTAAAGAAACGCAGGCTAATGAATTTCACTGTTCAAAATTTGCCCTTATTTTCTAAAGTGAGTGTCAATCAAATTGCTTTTAATTTCATTTATGCTATGAGATGCTCACTGACCATAGATTGAAGTTTGGATAGATGAGATGGGGTTGTATTCGTTGTATGAATGCCAAGAGTTGCACAATAACTCCTATATATATATATATATATATATATATATATATATATATAGGGATGTTATTCTACACCCTTTGCCATTCCTACATCCTATACAACCCTCATCTCAACCATTCAATTTTTAATCAATTAATTGTTTCCTAATATAAAGTATTAATCATAATTAATAAACTCTATTCATATT